AATAGTGGGCAGAAAAATAGCTCAGGCAGTGAAAACTGGAGACCAGGTGTGCAAGTAGGAAAACGTCAGAAGCAGAATGTATAAAGTCCTGTTTTCAGAATTTGTGTCATAAAACTCCAATGCCTTTAGAGTTTAAAGGATCTTCCTTCATCAGGACTAGAAATAACACAAAATTGCTATCACTATAGAATATTACTAGTGTGTGTGACAATCTACTATACTGATAGCAATCTATTATGTTATTTTTAGCTATGATGAAGGGGGCTCTTTGAACCCCATAACTGTCTTGGCTTTTTTTAATAGACAATTCTGAATACAATCATAATATGTTTTGCTTGTGGAGCTTTACTCCCTGCACACCTAATCCCCACTTGAGTTAAAAGCCACCTTTGGCCACCACTTCTGGTAGAGCCGTCTAAGGGTAATAATTTCTTCTACACTGCTTGATACCTGACTGTAAATATTCACTGCTAGAAAAGATCTACTACCTTCCTTCCCCTTATATTTGTGATCAGTAGAAAAGTGCCCTATCACTCTGTCTGTAAAGTCACTAGTAATACAAACATAGTAATACACACAATATATGCAGTTTAACTTCCCCCAAAAAACAATGGCAGTCTGTGTAGTGCCCCAGTCATGATGGTAGTCTCTGTAGTGACACTGGAGGTTGGCATAGTTCCCCTATCCTACTGGCATTCAATGTATTGCTCCATGTCACACGGATGGTTAATGCCTTGCACTCTTGTCACACTGGCAGCCAGTGCAGTGCCCCTCCCTACACTTGTGGCCAGGGTAGTGCCCCCCATTCATAAATGATCAGTGTTGAACCTTGTTACATAAGCAGTCAGTGTAGTGCCCTTTGTTAATGGGGTGTTTTGCTCTTCATTACATTTAATGTAGTGCCCCCGTCCTCCCCATCACATTGATAGTTAGTGTAGCATTGCACATCACATTGGCAATCAATGTAGTGCTCCATTCATGTAGTTCCCCCTGTCTAGTTCCCCCTGTCACATTGGTGGTCATTGTAGTGCCCCAAGTAGATTGACAGTCAGTGCAGTGCTCCCTGTCACATTGGCAATCAGTCTAGAGACATTGTCAAACTGGCAGTCTGTAAAGGCACGATTGCAGCTGCGCATGCGCAAAGAGCAAACCGCGAGAATCGCGGCAAAATGCGCGGGAAGGCGCACAGGAAGTGAGGTAGCTGTCTTTAATCCTATGACTATATAAGGAGGAGCCAGCCTCTCTTTCATTGCTGATGGTCTTGTCAGCTTGGTGTTTGTTTCCTGTGTTCCTGTGTTTGCTACTTAGAGCTGCCTTGGCTTGGATTGCCCTGGACTACTCTTTTGCTTGCTTCCAGCCCCTGACCCCGGCCTGTTCCCTGGATTTGAGATTGCCTTCCGAATTTGTACTTCGCCTGCCCGACCGGATTTGGCCCTTGGCTTACTGACCTCTCTACACAGTTGTTTCTGCACAGTGTTTGTTTCCAGCCTACGGCACTCGTGCTCCTCGTTGCCCTGCGCCCTCCGGTTCCCAACTCCAGGGGTCGCAGGACATGAATCACAAGAGACGCCTCCCCATCTTCCAGTCTCATCCTCAGGTACGTGATACAGTCAGTGTAGAACCCTCAGTTACACTGGTGGTCAGTAAAGTCCCTTTCTTGGGGGTAATTGGTTTGATGCCCCTTACATTAGTGGTCAGTGGGAGCAAAACGAATCATTGGTGTCAGTGGCTTCTCTATCTGAGAAACTCCATTCCACCCAGCTGAGTCCATCTCTGGTGGGTGATATCACCCCTGGAATTAGTGCCGGGTGTCAAGAATTTTTTGATTCAAGCTGCAAGAAAAATGTCAACATTATTTATTGGGTGAATTAAACTTTTTCCATGTCTGTGCAGGTTTGTTGGAACAAGATAACAAATGAATAATATTTACAAAATGGTCAATGTCTCGTTGTTTACTTCCCGTAGAAAAAAGCTAGTGGTTTGAAGAATAGCGCAATTCCACAACGATCCTTCTTTCTTAAAAGGAATGTACAAATAATATTTGGTACAGCGATCCTTTGGTCTCATCCATGTAGAAGTGGAATTTATAAGCAGACTTCTGTAAAACGCGTGACATTTCCACATGTTTATTTTGCCACTTCAAGCTAACAAAACATTAACACATGATAGGCATACACATTGCTTCTACCGGGAAGCACTGTTCATTATTTTTTGGAACCTAAACATCAATCAAGAACTATATAGCGCTCACACTCATAGCAAACACACACTCAGTGATTACCCCCTTCAATAAGTAAAATAATACAATGTTAGCATATGTCACAAAGTGTATGAAACAATAATGTCCCAACCTCCAAAACATCAGTGTGCATCACAATGTTTCTTAAAGGGTATCTATGGTCAAAATCTAAAAATAAATATTTATTTCTAGATTTAATTTCCATTAGTTCTATCCCACTCCTAATAATCATATAAATCTAGAAGTTTGTAAACTTACTTAATAAAGATGCCCCCAGACACAATTTTACTCGCCCTGTGAATATGTACTTCCTTTTGTCATAACTCTCACAGGGCCTGCCTTCTGAACTACAATTTCTTTGCTTGCTGGAAGCAATGCATGATGGGATATGTAGTCTTGAGAAATCGAGATTGCATCACATCAAGCAGCAGGGAAAGAGATGCAAAGCCCAATGGGAATCCAAGAAGTTGTTGGAAGTGATGGGCAGGCGGAAGGCAGCACTCACTGCATAAAAGGGATTTTTTCAAGTAAGCTTTGATTGCATTATTAAAAGCAACTCTAGTGTGTATTCTTATTGCAATGATGATGTCATAACAGGATAGTATATGCTGGGACTTTACAAATAAAAAAATCATCTTTGTGTTTTCCTAATTAGATTCCGGTGCTCACACAATCCCTGAAACAGAAAACCCACCTCTCCATTACCATCCTAAATGCCCCTATATTTCTGTTGTGGAATCTGATGATTGTATATGCCCCCTTTTCAATATCAGATTATCACCATGTATTATTCCGGTTTAAAATAGGAAATAAAAATACTAAGGCCTCATGCACACGGCACATGCGGGCCATAAATGTAAAATTCAGGTGTATTTCTCCATAGCCATAGGTGCTATGTACAGCCACCCATAGACCTCAATGACTGCGTGCGGTTGTACGCTGGTCCTTTTATAAATGTTTACAGACAGTCTGCGTTCAGGGGCAATATTTGAACATACGTGAGAGTATACAAAAGTACTGGCATACAACTGCACACAGCCATTGATATCTATGAGCAGGGGCATCCCTGGTCATCTCTGAATTGGTGCTGACACTGCCCTTCCTTCTGGAGGGTGGTTACTTTTGTTCCCCATGGCAGACATCTCAACTCTCCTGGACGTTCCTGGAGTCTCCTGCTATAATTTGCCGGATGCCGGGAGAGAAACACTTTATCCCAGAAAGTTTCCCTATCTGTATTTTTTTTTTAACATCGGGCTGCCGGCCGCCGTCAATCAGAGAAAAAAAAACACCCACATAGGATTGAATAGCTAGGCTTCTATTGGCTATTTCAATTTGCAATAGCCAATAGCAGATCAGCTATTGCACCCGCCCACCGCTGCTGTCAATCAGCAGAGGTAGACCATCATGTTCTCCATCAGGTCCTCTTTTGCTGATTGACAGCAGCAGTGGGTGGGTGCAATAGCCAACTTGCTATTGGCTATTAAAAATTGAAATAGCCAATAGCAGCCTAGCTATTCAATCCTATGCTGTCTGTTGTTGTTTTTTTTAAATTATTATTATTATTATTCTGATAGCAGCAGGTGTCAGAATACAAAAAAAAAGAGCAGATAGCAAGGGGAGCATTAGTTTCTCTGCTATCTGCCATCGACCATGGTGGTGCCCTCTTCCCCATCCCTGCCCCCCCCCCTCGCAGATGGGGGGGGGGTTAAGAGCAAAAGTAGCCCCCCTCAGAAGGAAGGACAGTGTTAGCATCAATTCAGAGATGATGTGGGTATCTGCAGCTGAGTGATACACAAATAAGATACATCTTTGTTAATAGTACTTGAATGTATTTTTAAGATTTAACTCCTGAGTTTAGTGTCACTTAAACCGTTACAGATCGGAGGCAGCCTCCCTGCAAAGAAAAACTTTTTACTCCCCTGGAGTTGGACTTTAAAGCTTTGTTAATTAAACCTTGAGTATGCATTTGCTTGCAAACAGGTTTCTTTATTAAGGCAAACCTCAAAGAAGTGAAGCAATCTAAAAGAAATCTTTCCATGATGCACAATCCGTTTTCTGTTGGTGACTGCCCTTTGTCCATTATAACAGACTTTCAGGAAGTATGCACTAATCAATTCTGAGTATTCAATCAACACTATCACACTTCCATTCTGCTCTTCATTGCCTGAGCTGTTCGTTCTATAGAATGCAGTGTCATCAGACGGCGTGCAGATTAACCTTATTCTGGTGTTTTACACTCTTGTGTCATGTGAGACTACTCTTGTCATTCGCTGGCACTTTACTAGCCTGAGCAGTCAAGAAAACTCGTGCAATCTTAGTTAATCCCCTCCCTTCACTGAAGAAGGCAGGGTCCCTTAACTCCTTTTCTACATTCTGTCAGGGAGGGATCCTAGTGTTGTGCTCTCCTACAAAACAGCAATATCTAGTGATGTTTCCAGCACTGCTGCTGTTAGCTTGGAGTGTGATAGCCTAGTAGGGAGTGCTTCAATACTCTTGGACACACAGGCATGCATGGATCAATGGCACATGCGCTTGTATATAGAGCAGAGTACATGAGACACACATTTCCCTGGAGTTTATTGATCCTGCTTGAGACAATATTGTTCTGCACTCTGTATTTCTTTAACTGACTATTTAAAAGAAAAATGACTGGCACCTTAGCGCTTCACCGTAGAGAGCCAAAGATGAGCTTTAGCTGAAGCCAGTTCCTACCAAGCTTCCCAGCTTCTTTTCCAAGAGGACTTAACCAAGAAAGTTCAAGATGCCTTTTAATGACTCCCTGCCGGCAAGCCCAGAGACCTCTACAGAGTGGAGTCCGTTTCAGGGTCCTCTGAAGTCCATCGAGCCCTGGAACTTCCAACTTTTGACGGCACTCATGTTACTGATCACCATCTTGTCCATTGTGGAGAACTTCATTGTCATAGTTGTCACCTTCAAGTTTAAACAGCTGAGGCAGCCTTTAAACTATATCATTGTGAACTTGTCCGTGGCGGACTTCTTGGTGTCCATTGTTGGCGGCAGCATCAGCATCGCCACCAACAGTAAAGGCTACTTTTACTTGGGACCCTGGGCTTGTGTTGTTGAAGGGTTTGCGGTGACTTTTTTCGGTAAGGTTTGGGCTTTTTTTTTTCAATCACACCATTTCATTGACTGGTTCTAACTCATGTTCAGACTTATTAATTACATACGTTTTTGCAGAAATATGTAGGATGCCATTGCTTTCGAAAATGTTCCTTCCCTGGCTCCCATGCTGTTGCCTTGGCTTCAATAACTTCTGAGGCACTGACCAAGAACAAGCATAGAGATAAAGAACTTTGACTTTTTGCTGACACTCATGCTTTTTCCGGGTTTGTGACTATTAAAGTGACACTAAACTCAGAAGTTAAACCTTAAAAATGCATTCACACCTTAACAATTAACCAAAATGTATCTTATTTGTGCATCACTTGGCTGTAAATCCTCAAATCATCTCTGAATTCATGTTGACACTGTCCTTCCTTCTGAGGGGTGGCTACTTTTGTTCCCCATTGTCCCTGTGTGTGTTGTAAAGTAGCCACCATTCCAAGCTTAGTCCTGTGATGGACTACAATCTCATGTTTAGTTTACAAATTTGTATTGAAATTGTAGTCCATCACAGCAGCAAGCTTGGAGCGGTGGCTACTTTACAACACACACAGGGACCATGGGGAACAAAAGTAGCCCCCCTCCAGAAGGGAGGACAGTGTCAGCACCAATTTAGAGATGATCTGAGGATCTACAGCTGAGTGATACAAAATAAGGTTCAGTATTGTTAATAGTTAGGGGTGCTTGAATGCATTTGTAAGATTTAACGCCTGAGTTTAGTATCAATTTAAGTGTGTTTGTGGCTATTAAGACCAGACACAGCCAGGCAACTAGCAGTTTCTGAAGTTGGACAGCTTTGGCAGCCCCTGTATGTCTCTTATTACTGTATGTATGTCTCTTATTACTTGAAAAAAACTAATTGGGGTTGATAAGCTAAAGAAGTAGAGAATGTCACTTTGTAAAGTAAATGCTCACTTAGAGGATAAGGTAAAGGAGTGTTCACTTTGCATACCAAATGCTGGGGAAGAGAAACAGGATTTTGGCTTGCCCATGATTGGATGATTAAAGTGAATGCAGATTCATTCATTCAAGTGACCAATCGCATTGCAAAGTGAACGTCGTTTACTTCCTTAATGATTCAATGACCTTCATTATGACCAATGAAAAATGAGTGTTCTGTAGCTTGGCACGCTCAAACTAGAAAATTACCTTATCTAATAGTCAGGATTGTGAGTGATATCATTCTTTGTTGAGCTTAATTTCTTTATCAGGGGTTGATGTTATTCATATCATCTCAAAGTAAAATGTTGTTTCATGCACTCTGCTAAAATGACTCAATGAGTTGAGAGCGTTCAATGTTGATAACTTTAGATAGGTAGAATCAGATCTTTATACCCTCAATTCACCCGAGTGGTCTGCAGTATCCACCTCTTATCAAATAGTTGCTCCAGTTTGAAAGAAGAAAAGAGAAACAACACATAAAATATGTGACACTTTCATTGACGATACAGCTGCTTCCTGATCTGTACTGTCAGTGAAAGTTTGTACTATCCCATAGAGATTGTGAGGAGGTGGCGCGCTCAGTACTTTCATTACTAAAACACACTTGGGTATTTCATCTGTCATTAAGTTGTCAGCTGTCAATCATCCAGGCATGGAATTTACAGATTGCGGTTCAAGTACTTCTACAAACAACCACCTGTTTTTTTCTGAGAGTGAACAAACAAATGTCTTGGGTATCACAATAATCAATGCCGACCTTAAAGGGCAACTCCTGCACTTTTATTGTTGACTTTCCAAGCCACTGCAGCAAAATGATTGGCTGGGTAATGGCATTTATTAGCAGTTTATGAAATGTGCCATCCTCAAGAAGGTTCAGATTTTGTTCATTGCAATGTGGGAACTGTCGAAAAAGTGTCATGCTGTGTCCATGTGAAATCCCATCGTTTTGTAATTGTAGGCTGACTCTCATGACATCGAGCCGGATTTGAATAACTTCAGTAGGGTAGAGTGGATACAGATTTGGTTATATGTATTAGGTCAATGTTACTGTCTACAAAGATTATTTTACAGCATGAACTTTGAAACCAATGTATTTATAGATTAATACAGATTGGCCATCTTTGATCATATATTTATGTTTATTTTTAGCAATATTAGAAGACAATTTTTATGTATATTTTGTTTGTTATGAAAGTGATTACTTTTACACTTCTTCCTTTTGCCATAGTCTTCACTATCTATGTAATATGAGGTCAGACCTAGACAACCCAATCAATTATTATAAAATCAGGCAGGTCCTTGTACTACATAGTTGGAGATGGTACAACAAGATTGTATAGTGTATGGTTAGCCTTCGGGCTTGTGTGGATCCTCACGGGCAGGGTCTTCCTTACCATCCTGTCTTGAATTGTATTGTAATGTAAATGTCTTCCTTATATTGTAAAGCGCTGCACAAACTGTTGGCGCTATATAAATCCTGTATAATAATAATAATAATAATATGCAGTGTGCTATCAGGTGCAATCAGGTTGTAGTTGAGTTCAGTGGGTGACACTTCTGACATCTTGCAGAGGAGCTTCTGACCTGCTTCTTTTCCACTCCTGTTGACTAACTTTGGAGAAAAGCACACAAATGAACTCCCTTACTGACATTGATGACTAACCAGAAGTAAAGGATTAATTAGGCAAGAATTTTAATAACTTCAAGAGGGGCTACAACCATTTTTTTTAAGCTTTTGAGTGTTGAAGTGTTATACCACTATCAGGCTGGTATTGCAGTTGGTGTCACTGTTGGAGAGATTTCCCCTGTCTTCCTGCCCTGGAGTCAGTGGTCAATGGCACAGGAAGTAAGAAGACCTCTCCCCCTATAGGAGCATAGAGAGTAATAGAAACCTGACACAGGTTCTAACCCATCTTTAGCCTAACGCTATAATGCTTTGGTTGGTATTCCACTTTAAAACTAACATTCTTATTGTACAAATCCATGACATATCTCACCGTTCCAATTCTTCTGGCTGTGTCTGCTGTGCAGGACTTGCAGGTGCAGGATGAATAGTGCGTGTTCACCATGTTCTGCATACTACTGGGTCAGTGACTGAAAGTATTGAAGTCAGCATGCCAGCCAGGCATTTATCTATTTCAGAATATGTTAACAACGATCACCTGCGTGGAAGTTTTCTCTTGTCTTAAAGCAGGACTCCAGCATGTGCAAAAATGAACCATTGCAATGGGGCTACCCCTGCACTGCAAGGGTTAACTACTCCTTTTGGTCTAGGGACCAGAATAAAGAAAATATACTCACCTGATCCTGCGGGAGTCAGCGCTCACCTCTCTCTCCCTCCGCTCTGGCTGTGTTATGTCCCTCAGCATCCTTACTTCTAATGTAAGTGAAAGGACCTTCATTAGATGTGATGACGTCACGGGTCCTTAGACCGCTGGAGCCCAGTGGAGAAGAGTCTATGGGGACTGGTGTAGCAGCCAGGCAGGATTAGGGATCAGGTGAGTACATCTTCTTTAATCTGACCCCTAAACCAAAACGAGCAGTTAACCCTTGCAGTGCGGGGGTAACCCCACTGTAAGGGTTAATTTTTTGCGCATCCTGGAGTTCTGCTTCACACCTAGGCGTTTTGCCACTCAAAGCTAAGCACAACAAAATGCTGTTCATATCTGAGCGTTTTGTTGCATGCTTTGTCGCACAAAGAATTCCATTGAAGTCTATGGGACCAAAAAACGCTGTTGTCTGCCAAAAAGTAGCGCATGCACTTTTTCCAGCGACGTGTTTTTCAAAACGCTCATGTGTGAACAGGGGACATAGAAATGAATGGGATTCCTTGTTTTGGGCATTTTGTTGTGCTTACCTTTGAGCGACAAAGCACCTAGGTGTGAAGAGAAGTCTACCATAGAGATAATCATTCTGAAATTGTTAAATCTGAAATTGTTAAATGTGAAATTGTTGCTGCACATCCTGGAGTTCTGCTTTAAAGATTTCTTCATTTCAAAACATCCATCGAACCAGTGAACCAGACCTTTACGTTTTCTGCCTGGTTGTGTCAAAGGGCAGCCAAAAAACCTAGATACGCACGGGATTTTAGCCTCCTCATGGCAGTAGTAGTGAAAGTTAGCTCAAAATCAGAGGAAAAAAACACTTTGATGGCATTCCTTACCTTTGCATTTTTGGATCATTCTAATATTGTGTAAAGTAAAGCCCGGGAGGGCAAATCATCAACTTTGTACATAAAAAGCATTGTAATACCAACTGCAAAATACCAGTGCCATTTAAATCTTGTCCATTGCTGTGTGGGAACTGTAGACACAGCTATCTGCAGTTATCACATAGCTAATGAAGAATAATTCCTATAGGAGACGATGGATACATAGAGAACCTGCATGGGTTAAAGGGATCAAAACAAGGCGTAAGTGAGATTTAGGAATGAACCATTTTGCTATCATATCACCGTTCTATTCTGAATTACAAAACCAAATGTGCTAAAAACCTGAAATCAGATCTTCCGTCTCTTAAAGCAGAACTCCAGGCACAGAGCTTTATGTGAACCATTCATAGAATACACAATGGTCTTGGTAATGGCCATGGATTAAAATGACACTAATGCTTCTGTCTATGCCGCAGCTCTTATGTCCACAGGGGGCTGGAAGTACAGAGGGAGCTGTATTGTCCGGCATGAAGAAAAGTACACATTTAAAAGCACAGAGCAGTGATCCGGACGTGGCATACACCTGAGCAGGGGCAACTTTTATACATCAGACATTTTAAAAAGTTCTGTGCTTGGAGTTCTTCTTCCATGGGTTAGTTCATCTTTGCAATAAAGTGCGGTATACAGTCACGGGTGCCCTGTACTTTTCAAAATACTGTAAAGCTTTGAAAGCCCATCTCTGGCAAAGCAACAAAACTACATTTGCAGTAGGGCTATCCCTCACTGCAAAGGATGAGAACTTGGTTATGCCTAGGGGTCCAATGAAAAGCTCACCTATCTTCTCTCAGCTCTGGCTGGTGGAATGCCCCTCAGCATCCTCATGTCTAATGCAGGGCTATGGATGTGATGATATCAGCAAACTTTAGACTGGTGGGGAGAAAAGACTGCAGGGACTGGTCTAACAGCCCAGAGAGAGCTGGCAGGAGCAGTGATCAGGTAAGTCAAATAACTAGGCTTTTTTCTGCCCCCTGTAAATGAGCAAACGGTAGCCCCACTGCAAGGGTAGCTCTTCTTTTACCCAGAGCTAGACTTTAAACTTTGTGGCTTATTTTAATTGCCATACCTGTAGGTCCATCGCGGTTTACCCATAGCCTGGCTGAAACACTACTACTGGGAGTGATCAGCACTGTCCTGCCTGTGATTTGAGGCGCCCCATATGTTGAGTACGTGCCCAGCATCACTGGAATAAGCGCTTTACCCTCTTTCAATGCCTGCGCATGTGCAGTGCTCCCTCTGCTCTCTTGGTAAAAGAAGAACTACCCTTGCAGTGGGGCTACCGCTGCACTGCAAGGGTTAACTGCTCCTTTATGTCTAGGGGTTTGGAAGGAGGACTTTTACTTACCTGATCCCCGGTCCCCCCTCTCCCCCCCAGTGGTCAGCGCTCACCTCGCTCCCATCTGCTCTGGGTGTCCTCACCTATGAGCATTAGACGTGATGACATCAGCAGGCCTCTAAATGCCGGAGTAAGGGGGAAGAGGCCAGTCAGGAAGTTGGAGCCAGCAGGACCGGAGATCAGGTGAGTAAAAGTCCTTTACACATTAGCCCTAGACACGAATGAGCAGTTAACCCTTGTAGTTCAAGGGGTAGCCCCACTGCAAGGGTAGTTACTTTTTGTTAACCAGGGGTAGGCATTAAAGCTACACAGTGTTTTTAAATGTACAGGGCCCCCTTGACTGCGTAATGCATTTGATTGTAAAGGTGAACAAACCATTTAAATGTGACTTGGTGAATGTTTGTAGCTTGAAGAATTTACAGAAATAATTGTAGCATCCGCATTAGCTTTACAAATTCTTTTTCATCTCTTGTCATGGATTAGATGCAGTTGCATTTTTAATGTCTCAGATCCCCCAAAAAATCAATAGCCCAAAGCCTACTCTAAACATTATGTCAATAATTGATTGTGGCATCCTGTTATATTTCTATATATATATTTGTGCTTTTTACTTCTAAGGCATCGTGGCTCTGTGGTCTCTGTCTATTCTGGCATTCGAGAGGTACGTGGTGATTTGCAGACCGCTGGGAAATCTCCGTCTTCGGGGGAAACATTCCGCTATCGGTATTCTGTTTGTCTGGGTTTTCTCTTTTATATGGACGATCCCTCCTACTATGGGATGGAGCAGCTACACGACAAGTAAGATTGGAACCACGTGTGAACCGAACTGGTAAGGGATGGATATGATTTGCTGTAATCATTAATAATGATTAGCATGTTGCTGGTTTCGAGATTGATTCTGTGCCAGAAAGCTGAAAATGTTCCATGGCATGTCAGGTATTTCAGGGGGTCATATACGGATAGAGAACTCATAAAGACAGATCAGATGAGACCGTTCACCAGGGCACCAACGTGTTATTTTATTATAATATAATTTATGAATTACCGTCTCTTTAAGATTTTATGTCATAATGTTCTTTTTTTTAACTGCTGACCACCTCGATAATATACAGCAAGGCAGTAAAATGGTCAGCTTTTTAGATATGTCCTTTATCTTGTTCTGCTCTGCCTGCTCAGGCTTTTGAAGTATTAGCTGTTTCCAGTGGGATATGCTCAGACCGTATGCAATACCACTGGGTAGCTGTGTTACATGCACATGCTGTCTGTAGAAGTCTGGTACCATGATTCAGGAGGTATGTGGGAGATGAGCTAGATCTGTCAGTAATTTTCTTCCTTGGAATGTCAAATGTTCTTAGAGAGGCTGCTCCTACACAACACATATGAAGAACAAAAGGGGTTCCAATATGGTTTTTATTGATGATAATCAATAAGACAAAATGTCCAATGTGTTTCCGGGGTCCACATTATCTTACTTCATCAGGGCTTAAGAGGTACTTTGTTCCTTTCAAATGTTATGGACTCTAAGTATGAATGGTAAGTAACAATAGTTAGCAGTAGTATCAGAAAGAATGTGAGTTTTGTTCTATTGATATTTATTGATCTTTATAAATAAAAAAACATATTGGACTCTACCATCCATAGTGGTGTCCCCTTTTGTTCTATATCTGGTATCATGATCAGGCTCACTTAAGGGGAACGTATAGTGTATTTCCAGTGAGCACATATTTCAGTTATTAAAGTCAAATTATTTTTGATGAGCCTTTCAAATTTTTACTCTCACACCCTTTCAGATTTCTGCTGTTATAATAAATGTAGAGGTTTGTAGATTAGCTACTCAAATCTCTCTACCTAAATCATTTTGTAAAAAGACGTGATGGATGACTCCGATCTTAACTTCTACACCTGCTGAAGAATCTTTAGCATCTGAGACACTTCCAGGTGTATTCTAACAAAGAAAAAACAGGTGCCACCACAAATGCAAGAGTCCAAAAGTAGTTTTATGTTTTTTATGTTAGCAATGGATCAACAGATCCCCCTTCATCCAGGCTTATGAATTAGGTTCCATCCGTAATGTATGGATTCTTAAGATATCGCGTAGTGCCCCCGATCCCTAGAGGCCTGAGGTAGACCCTTAAAGGGTAGGGAGGGCCGACATTTCAACAAATTGGGTGCCAGTCACTATAAGTGCCTTTTTTAATGTTTTATTGTGGAACTTCAAACTGGTAGAGAGGTCAAAGTGCTTCAGACATCCATTGCAAATATAGACAGAGTCCAGAATCCCTTCAGACATCCACAGTGCAGAATTATTAGGAGAACAGGCTGACACTGGGCAATAAGGAAACAACTGAATAGAGGCTAACCAAAATGATTGACAAGCTTTTACTTTCCATTGAACACATAACTGAGACCCTGGAATGACACACAGTGTGTCTAGTTTGACATGTACTGTAAGAGTGCTGCCTAACCCCTGCACATCCTTTTTATCCTTTCCTCCTCTATTTCTGTGACAACATTGCTAACTTTTATGACCGCTGCCTATTCACTCAACATCTGCCCTGCTCACACATCACACATCAGCAAAAATCCTGCGCATAGTTATTGATGGGGCAGGGATCCTCTACAGCAGGGGAAGGCAACCTCAGCACTCTGACTGTGGAACTACAAGTCCCATTGAAAGACTCTGAAAGTCACAGGCATGACTCTCAGAGGCAGAGACATGACAGGATTTGTAGTTTCATCACAACTGGAGTGCCAAGGTTGCTACCCTTGCCCAACATAGCACCCAGAACTAGATGAACCATTACAGTAGATGTAAACTTTTACAGTTGACGATGCTTGTGCAATGTGACAATGTGTGACAGTCAATCAGGGGATCACATGGCATCAGAGTGACTATGCAGATACAATTAGGAGACAGTTGTCACTCCATAAAAGAAAGTGCCTGAACATGGACCTTTATAACAGGATCATCAGCTATTATTTTAATAAAAGCTGCATAGTTACATAGTGTGGTTGAAAAAAGACACTTATAGGCAGATTTAAAAACATTTTAAAATAATTCAGAAATTCCATTAACATGTTCATTCTTCTATGAGATTTTAATGGTTGGCTTTAGATCTTCTTTAAGTAAGATAAGCCCATATTTAGGGCGCCAAGGAAAAAGGGGGCAGCAAAGAAAATTTCCCCTAGCTATCATGCCCCTAACTCTTATACCGCTATACTTGACTATAGTCACATTTATGTAATTGTCCTTATCTGCCGTGTTCAGCTTTAGCCCATGTTGTAGGGCCTGTGTTGACAGGCTTTGGGCTTGTGTTACTGGGCAAATGCAGCAATTCTGAAGCAAACAAACCCCATCAACGCCAGCTCTGAAGAAAAAAAAAAACAAGTTGATATAACACAGATTAGAAGTTTTGGTTCAGATAATATCAAATCTTACTTTATCTTATACATTTTGGTCGGGTGATTACACATAGTTTTCAATACATTTTTATAAGTCCATTTCTGCCTCTAACATTTAAAAAATACCTAAAAAAATGTAAAGTTGCAAGTTAATAATTTTGCATTTTTTCTGTAGCCCTAGTTATAAGTAAATGATTTGCTTATATTGCTTACTGCTATTTAGTGTTAAATAAATAGAATTTAAAAATGTTTGTATTTATTATAGTTGTGCGGTCTGGCCCGGCGACTGGACTGGAAGAAAACTACATTTTCAGTCTCTTATTTCACCTTCAGCACCAGTTGAGTCTTAATGTCTTGTCAGTTCAGCAGTGGAAGGGCCAAGGGGGCACCTTTACTGAGCTGTGCTTAGGGCATCCCTTAGGTCTTTATCTAGCTGTGTCAAAACTCCTCTCTGTGGCATCTCATGTTATCAGCAGGGCATAGCAGGACAAACCCAAACTAGCCATATAACCAAGGATGAAGCTTCTAAATTTAACTTACATTTGCCAAGTAGTGTTTGCAAAAATAATGCATGTATGGCTACAGTTCCATCTTTAAAGAGACTCTATCTCCCACCTGCAGTAGCCTTCATTGATCTGTAGTAAGAGGCCATTGTAATAGGCAGGCACTGATGGGTTGCCTCCCTTAGATTGTAAGCTCTCTAGGACAGGGGCCCTCCTTGCCATCTTGTCTTGGCTTTTATTGTAACTGTAATATCTTACTTATATTGTAAAGCGCTGCACAAACTGCTGGCCTTATATAAATGCTGTATAATAACAGGAATGTACAGAAAGGGTTGGGCAATCTTCTGCATTTTCAGGGACCGTTGTTAGAATGGTCCAGTATTAAGCCATAGGGTTTGTAAGCCTGCTGCCAGAAGCCGGCAATTTATACCTGCAGAAGTGTTTTTTTTTTTTACCTTGAACTTCTTTTATCATAATGGATCAGCAGTCTATCTGTGATTGGCCAAGCAGTCTATCTGTGATTGGCCAAGCTCAGTCTCCTGTTGCTCATCTACTACTTTAGTCTTAATGCAGTGCTAAAAGAATGAGCAGTGCTTGATTAAATTTATAAACCATTCACATTGCCCTACACTTTAGCCTCTCCCACTGATCCCTCTGTTACTATAGGACAGTGGCGGCGAACCTTGGCACTCCAGCTGTTTTGGAACTACAAGTCCCATGAGGCATTGCAAGGCTCTGACAGCCACAGACATAACTCCCAGAGGCGGATGCATGTTGGGATTTGTAGTTCTGGCACAGCTGGAGTGCCAAGGTTCGCCACCACTGCTATAGGATATAGTAGTGATATAGGGGTTCTCAGAAGGAACCACCAAGTGCAGTGAGGGAGTTTGACATTCCCAGCATCGGTTTTGGGTTGATGACTCCTTTTCATCTAAGTTTTATTTGGTCACGCAGGAAAGGGGAGAGGTAACTATTTGCTCTATTCTTCACAGGTGCACCTATTAATTAAAGTTTAGTTTTTGCAACCAAGTCCCTGTAACATCAGGTGCCCTACATGTTCTCACCTCTTGGTTGCAGCATTATTAGGGGTGTGTGTCTGTATCACACATCATTGGAAGTAATCAAAATTATTAAAAATTCATCACCTGATTTTTTTTTTCCTTTTGCCCTTCTTTATGCTCAAACAGGACTAAATCATTTGTGGCAAAGAGTCCAAATTCATTTAGCATGGAAAGTGCTGCCTATCCCATAACACTGAACACTACACTGCCGAGATACAGCCGTTTTACAAGGACAGGACAGTTCAAATGAGTGATTCTAATTAGTAGACACATAATATGGGACACTTGTAATCTGTTTCTGCCACATGCTGATTTATAATTTCGACGACACTCTGATCTCATACTACATAGTTGTTGGCAAATCTGAATGAGATTTCACAATCAGGTTATAACATCTGTGGCCAGTTGAAGTGTTAGCTCACAAAGAGATCTGTTGTTTCTCTATAACTACAGAGGGATTTTGTGAAGAAGAGAATTTACATAAAAGCCCTGAAGTTCTTCTGTTGGGCACAATAGAGAGATTCTATTTAGAGGGTAATTCCACTTTTCCAGGTGAATTTAGAAAATTGAATTACCCCCTCCAAAAACGCTCCTTCCCTTCCACCGGTGCCAGTGTACTATCTGTACCCCGTACTGCCGTGTATCGCAGCCCTGTGCTCTGTAATTTTAATTTCCCTCGCAAATGGTCAGCACAGTCATCTGACCGTGATGACCAATGAGTCATCTGCGCTACACGGCAGTATGGGATGCGGATAGTACACCAGCAGTGGCGGAGGGTAAGGAGCGTTTGCCTAAAGGTAAGTATAGTGGGGTGGAAGAGGGGGCTAAGTTCCATTTTCCCAAATTCACCTGGGAAAGTGGGT